TTGGTATATATATACTGTTTTTTAAATAAAAGTACTTAGATCTATTTACAAAATATTTAGATTGGCAACAGCAAGTGTATGTTTTAGTTGCCAAATCTCCATTTTACCCCAGGCTACACTAATTTTTGTATATTCGGCACTTTTAAAATTTACCAAATAACCGAGACAAAATAACAAATTGACCAGAACGTTGGGATCGCATCATGAAACCGGGTCAGTCCCTGTGAAAGCGAGACATCAGACAAGTCTATTCAATGGTTTTTCGCTATAACTTTGTGCATGCTCTGGCAAGAAATAGTTAGCAAAGGCTATTCCATTTTGCGAACGATTGTCGAACTTTTTCATCGAAGATAGCATTAAATTATTTAATTTTAAATCATAGAAATTAAATTGACAGTTCTTAGATAACGAGATATATAAAAATTTCCGCTCGTAAAAACGTGTCTTATGCGAAAGGTAGTTGTGATTGGCTGAAAGTTTACTCTTCCTTTGTTTTCATTCCGAAAATAGTTCAGAAATGGCCGCCATTTTCAGAATTAAAGACGGGTCTGGTACAGATGATGAGCAACGGTTTGGTTTCATAATATTAGGATACATTTCAACAAACCATACACTTTTCTCTTCTGTACCTTTATAATAATAAGGGATGTCAGAATTTTTATTAGGACACTGCTTCTACAACAGAGACAGATAACGCCGAACGATACATTTTTTAGCGTACAGTGATGACGTGGCCGCTTTTCTTCGTTTCGTGCACGAAGTGACAGCAGTTGAAAAATTAAAAATTGTGTTAAAAAATACTTATTGATGTTAACAATTAAAATTTATTACGTTGAATTAGTGTAAATTACTTGTAAATTGCATACAATATGCTGTGTTCAATTTTTTATCACGTATATTTACTTTGTATTTATTTGTTTATTAATACAGTGGAACGTGGTTAACTCGAGCCGCTATAACTCAAAAGGTTTACATTGACACGCCGATTCTACGTTATAAGACACACGGAAGTATCGTATAGATAGTTTATTATGGGCCACAAATAAATCGATGCAGGAAATCTTGATTTTTAGCCCAAACCTTCGTAACTCGAAGTCCGAATTCCCCCTCTGACAGATTCCAGTTAACCAGGTTCCATTGTCTTATGTAATAAATTGTTTGAATATATACAAATATTAGTTAATTGTAGAAGCTTTGAAATTACTAACGACTGTAGAAATTTTAAAAGCATTTTCTGTAATATAAATTGCGTAGAATTTTAATACTGTATTTCCTTAATTGCAACACGTACAGTAAAATATAATATTAATAACAGTATCTGGGCATTAAGGCTTGAGTCTGCCGCTCTGGGTGACCCAAAATCGAATCCGAGCAATCAACCGCTAGAAATTTTTTGCCCCATTGTGAGCCTGGCCGAAACCACGATGCGTACAGAAAAAAGGCTTGATGTTGTCGAAACCGTGTCGTATTTGCTTATTGTGTACTGGCACAATGAAGTGACGTTTTTCTCAACACTGGGCTAGTTGAATCTTTTATTTAGTTACTAACTAAATAAAAGATTCAACTAGCCCAGTGTTGAGAAAAACGTCACTTCATTGTGCCAGTACACAATTTAATAATTATAATACTGATATATTTATATATGTTTACATATAAATATATATTATTATTTTAATTGTCAAAATTCACTTTGCAACTATGAAAAAAGCAACAGTTTACAGACTACTAGCATTACAATTATTGAGTCACTTGTATTCCTAATAATGTAAAGAAGACATAATTATTGCTCTAGTGTCTTATGTATACTTCAGACATGTAACAGAAATTTCTGAGTGAATCACTTGGATTACTGATGGCTTGCATAGACTTAGCATAAGTACAGAAATTACTGTAAAAACAATAGTCCAAGATCACTATCAACATATTATGCAGGTTGCTGCCATATCAAATGGCAGCTTCTTGCATTTCATATGCAAACATGACAATGCTCAATAAAAAAAAAAAGGAAAAGCAAAACAAGTATTAAATTTTATTCTTTACTTTGTGTCTGTTCATGTGCCTGTTTTCTGTTTTATTCAGTGTTCAACTGCTTGTGACATATTTTTATGTTATTTACTTTTAAACTGTGGAGTTATGGTGGGGATTGGCAGAGAGTAAGGGACAGAAGAGGATTAGTGTGGGAAGTGCCACTCCTTGCTGTCCCATGTGGCTACATCCCTAAACTTCAAGAATTCTTGAGAATCAGAAATATACTTGATTGCATTAATGTCTTTATACAAAAATTCTGTTTTTAGATTAGTTCATTCTGCTACAAATTAAACACTTCAGATCATGAGCTGTAATGTCTCTTTTGAAAGGAATATGTGGGAGAGTAGCTAATGAAGTAAATTCAACTATGTATTAAAAAAATTCACTTGTCTATCAACTTGTTAGAAATAATAAAACTAGTGTGAAAGTTTAATTATCTACAAGAATTTACTTTATTCTTCTTACAACTAAGTGTTTAAACCATAAATTTATTATGTTGGCTTTTACAGAGTAAACTCAAGCAACATCAATGTGATATAAGGAAAGATAGCTCTTCTATATTAACAGCTTTTGCTTCCTAATAAGATAATACAGTTTTATAAGATTGAGTATCCATCATCAAAAAAGTTTGACTATCTACTAAGCTTCCAGAAGTTATTGAAATTTATGGATAAGGTCTTAAGATCTTGTGTAAATCAGAGATAAAGATTTCCACTATGTGGTTCATTCTATATAATGTTGACTCTTTACAAGTGTTTATTTTCTGTAGATGAATATACTTATTATATATTTAGCCAGTATTCATTTTTACTGTTTTGTTATTATTTTTTATTTATTAATATTGCCACTTTATGGTTTTAAATATCTTATTCTAAATAATTTTTATATTTAAACTTTGATACACATCATTGACATGCAATATTGAAAAATATTATAGAAGTATAGGATTTATATTTAAACTTTGATACACATCATTGACATGCAATATTGAAAAATATTATAGAAGTATAGGATTTGAATATAGAGTCTAATGGTTATTAAAAGGAGCTGAAAACATTTTTTTACTTTTAAATTTTATGCCTGATATTAAAAATTTAATATTATTTTACTTTAATGAGATTACTTTTAAAAATATCATATATTTGAAAACAGTTATGTGCAAAATGACAAATTGTTTGTAATGTAGTCAAATGTTACATTTAGAATACACAAATTGATAATGATATTTAGAGAAAGAGTAAGGAAGAAAAAATTAATATAGAATGATTCATTTGATTATTGCGATACTGTAAGGTGATTTTTGTATAAAATGCTCGAGAGCATTAATATGAGAGCTTTTATCAAACAAATGTTATATGATAGATAGAATAGTAAAATGTTTGAAAGATTAATGTACAGAGTGGTCATAAAGTAAGTTGGCCAAGTAATAGCAATCTTGGGAGGTCAGAAAGTGTGGTATCTGCCAGTAAATTTTTAAGGTTAGTTTTGGATAAGGACAAGATGTTAGTTGTAGTAGTGATGATTTTCTAGCTAGAGCCAATGAGTTTCTGGAACAGTCTGGTTCTATAGTTTTACAGGAAGATCTAACAACGATTGTTCTAAGAACGACTTGGAAGGTGCTCGCACTTCCAAGGATAGTAGCCTCATTACCCAGATCCTCTTAATCCATCAAATGTGGCATGCCCTAGACCAGTGTTTTTCAATCTGTATGGTGTGAGACTTTTGCAAGGGAGACATGCAGCTTTTATCAAATTAACATTTTTTAATACAATACAAACAGAAAAACAGTCAAATTGATGTAAAAAAAATGAATCAGCAATTCAGTTATGCCTAATTCACAACCCTCATATGAACAACTCTGGTACCAATGCTAAAAAACCCATCCACAGTCTTGTTGAAACATCTTGACGAATCAAACCTCAACAAACAATATACTTTAATAAAGGAATGTTGGAAACCACTGTCCTAGACTGTTTTTTGAGACCAAGACACATAATCGGAATGGCCACTATGCCCACTAGTTAACAAGAATTCCCACCTAACATAGTACTTAGAGTAGGCATTTACAAAGCATATTACATCTTTAATGCCTACTTCTAATTTTGTAGCTAGCTCTAAACTCAATGCCAAGATAGGCATCACTTGCCTCCACTCCCACAAGCAAGTATTGATTTTATAAGATTGATGTGGTATCTTTGTATTGCATCTGTACCACATTTTGATGTGTTAATGCTTACAAATGCCTTATTCCTTAGGACTGATCACTCTATCCCCAGGTGGATTTGAGGGAAGTGCTTTTTCATATAATGGAGAACAATTATTTTCAATTTAACAGTACCATTTACAAGCAGAAGCATGGTGTGCCTATGGGCTCTCCCCTCTCTGCTGCTCTTGCAGAACTTATGAGGAATGTTGAGGTTAGAGTTTTTAGTTCTTTGTTGGCTATTCGCTACCCACTCTTATATCTACATTATGTAGATGATATCTTGCTTGCTTGGAATGGCTCTGAGGAAGAGTTGTAAGTCTTTATAAACAAGTTATCTTCTATCTATACAAGAAGTAATTTTTCTGTTGAGCAAGAACAAGGTGAGGAGATACACTTTTTAGACTTATAAATAGAGTACCTTCTGGGCTTATGTTTTCTGTTTACCACAAGGCTGGTACATTACCACAAATTGTCTCTGCTATTGCCTTCCAGTCCCCCATGCTTTGTAAATTCTGTTATTTCAGCTCTCATGCATAGAGTGTTTAGTTTCTCCACCCAAATATATGTAAACAAAGAGATGTGAATTATATTGTTGTTTATTAAGTTATGGCAATGCAACATTTGGGCAATGTGCCTAGGGGAATGCCTTTGGGGAGGTCTTTTTAAGGGAAACTGGCTCCTATTTAGGTGTTACAGACGTGGAGAAAACCCGGAAAACTCCAAGTGGCCAGCCTGTTTGAGCGAGGTGCAAACCTACGACCAAACTCCCAGTGTTCAGGGTACGAAGACCGCTTGGCCACTGGTGGACTGATGTGAATTATATACAATGCAGTATGCAAGACAGGTTATTCCCCAGCAAAATTTAATTATCTCCTTAACCATATCAGGAAATTGATATATCCTCAGACATTCCTCTCTAATAAATAAGATTGCTGCATTGTTCATTTTCCGATTCCTTTTGTGGGCATTTTATCTTTACAGATAGCCTGTCTCTTCAGAACTCATGGTCTCCTTTTACCAATTGTTCCCCAGCCTACCTTATGTAGGTTGTTATGTAATGATAGGGACAGTGTTGCTGTATATGAAAAGTCAGGGGTTTATGCAATCTTATTGTGGCAGCTGTTATCAGGAACAGCATTCATGCGCTGTACATTGGAGCCACATCTAGAATGTTGCAAGTTCAGGTAGCAGAACATCAAGAGGATATTGCCAATAATAAATTCCCAACTGAACTTTCAAAATGAGTAGTAGGGCATGGTTATGTGCCCCTTTGGGTTAATACTAGATTACTGAGGTGGGGCTGACAAAAGAATGTTATTTTTATAGGAAAAATCTTTATATTGTGTTATTTTCACCCTGCAAAACCCCTACCATCAATATTCTGCATTTATGGATAGAATTATTTAAACAATTCACTTTGCAGATGCTCTAAAGATCTGTATACTTAGGGATTTATATTGTTAATCAAACATCTTTACTACACCCGATACGTTTAAAGCTATACATCAACTAAAGCTGAATATTATCAGGCTAGACATGGCTATAATACTAATAATTTAATAGACAATTTGGCATTAGAGTTAGGCATTAGGCACCATCTCTTGATAANTTATAACAACCATTTGTTAAAATTAATTTTTCAGTCCCAAGAAATATATAAAATGTACTCCTGATAAATTCTCAAATGAATGGCATACAATGAGTGTTGCAGTAACTGATGCTGAAGGTGTTTGTCGCTATGACTTAGATGATTTAGATGTACAGTGGCTCAAAATATTAAATGAAGAAAGAGAAAACTGTGGTAAGTAATTAGTACATAATCATAATTTCAAAAAGATCTTGTACATTTTCATTTAATCATTTAATGTAGGTTGATAATGTACTCTATGAACCGATGATCGACCAAAAAACAAATAAAAGAAAAATTCACAACTAACATTTTCAAACTCCTCCGAGTTCTTCAGGTGTAAATGAATGTCTGATGGAATGTTAAAGCTTTTGGAATACAATGGGGATTGAAAGCGGATGTGCATTCAGATGGCAAGCAAAGTTTAACACTTAAAGGTTAGCGCCAATCAGTGCCTGCCAGTTTACTGACAAAACCAACTCCTCCTTATATTTCTTGTGCATCGGATTCAAACAATTCATCGAACGTTTGTATTCCAAAAGCTTTAACATTCCATCGGACACTTGAAAAAGAACTTGGGAGTTCAAAAACGTTAGTTGTGAATTTTTCTTTTGTTTGTTTTTTATCACATACCAGTCATTGGTTCATAGAGTACATTATTGACTATACCCTGGTGTTGTGTGTTGTTGTTTACCAAAGTAGGTTGTTATTACATTTATAATAAATAACAGTTAATGTTAATAGCTATTTATGCATAGAATGTATCTCTGAATAAGTATGACTTGAAATACAGAATTATGAATTTTTCTGTTGCAAAGAATTTGCTGAAAGAACAACATTATGACTCCAAATTTTGCATGTAAGGGAAATGTTTGCAGAGAAAACCAGCCTAAAGTTTGTACTTGATTAAGCAATAAAAATGGTTAATTATGTTAAAATTAGATCACAAAGTTATGGTTTTGCAAGAAGTTATGCAAGATAGTGTATTCAAATCACAAATAATTTTTTTTGTACATTATTAAAGTAAGATGGCTATTGAAAGGAAATGTGTTGTCACATGTGTATGAGTTGTATGAGAAAATGCATATGTGTTTTTTCACTGAAATGATCACAGTTTTATAATTATTTGTCTGATGAAATTTGGATCTGTAAATTAGCTTTTGTAGCAGGTGTATTCAAGAAACTTAATTCCTAAACATCAATCAAAATTATCACCTTTTTAAATATTCCAGCAAATAATTTAATATCGTAAAATTTACGATATTAAATTATTTGCTGGAATATTTAAAAAGGTGATAATTTTGATTAATTCTTTTTAGTTCCAGTACAAGTTAATATTCCTAAACATCAGTATTAAAGGCCAGAAGATGATACTCATTTCTAATGATAAATTATTTACATTTAAAAAAACAGTTAAAATATTTTTAAGAATATATTAATAACAAAATTAAGAAACTAAAGTTAATCATAATGATGAAATTGATGTGGTTGGTGAAACATTGAAACTACTAAAAACTAGATTTGAAAATTATGTTCAGTTTTTTGTAGAAAAATTATTTGTGGATGAGAGATCCATTTGAAGAAGAATCTTACAGTATTAGTTCTCATTTTGAAAGAGGAAGAATTTACAATTACAAATATCAGTTCCTGGAAATGAATTTTGACAGGAGTAATACTGCAGTTTCTGGATTAAAATACTAAAACAATTTTCACAAATTTCATAAGCAGTAATAATGTTATACAATTTTTTACATCCTATTTGAAACATACTTCTTAGCATGAAATGAAATTAAACTAAAAAAAAGGAGAAAAATGCTTAATTAATAAAAAAGGAAATGAGACTAAGTCTTTCTACATTGAATTTTAAAATAAAAATAAAAAGTAGTTTTTATTCCTCAGTCCCAACCATCTGATTGATAAAAAGAATTCATTATGATTTTATTTTATTTATTTTTGTAAAATTTATTATGTTGTGATTTGAATTTACGACTAATAGAAATGTATTAAAACTTTTTAAATGAAAAATAAACTTATTTGTATACTAAAGAAATAGAAGCTTTTATGACATGCAATCTATCATAAAATTTACATGCATGCCATAAAACAAAAAGGCTGAGAAACACTCCTGTGTACAAATGAAATATAAATTCCTATTTAAGCTAAATTTACATTTCAACATTAACTGAAAAATTGGTTAATAAAAATTAATTAGAATTAAAAGTTATTTTAATATTAAATTAGTGTTTTTTTTCTGGGTTTGCAAAAATTATCAAGAAAAAAATAATTTCCATTTCTTATGTAGATACAAGAATTTATGAGCATTAAATATAATTATTAAATATTAGTAATTATAACTAACATTTGGCAGTATCATTAAATATTACTTAACATAACTAACATATAAATTAGAAATTCAATTTTGATCATTTGATTTAGAATTTTGATATAAAATCTGCTAGATATGAAACACGTTATATTTCAATCATTTGCAATAAATCTGTGCATAAAACAATTTATTTATTGTAAAGATCATGCAAAGTTTTGCAGCTTTTATGATTTAATGAATACTGGTGATATCAAATATATATTTTATAAACAATATGAAAGTTTGTAATTATGTATAAATAATTAAACACTTATAACTTTTGTATAGATTCTCTGTTATTTGTTTTTTTGTTTGTTTTTTAGGTCTTTATCCAGTAGATGAAGCAACAATAGAGTTAATTATAGAAAAATTAGAAATTGATGTAAGTGTTATTTTGTTCTTTTATAATAATGCAGAATGTCTGTGAGAAATTATAAAAATTTATTTCCTAAAAAGTAATAGAGAAAAAAAGCAAATTAAATCATTTTAAAGAATAATTCAAAGCTCTAACATAATTGATTGCTTTGCAAAATCTGACTAAATAACATCTATTGTGACATGTTGGAGTTGTAATTATTACATCATTGCTAGAAGCAAATCTACTTTGTTTTAAGTAACCAGTAGTATCACTATATGTTTGCAATGATAATGAAGCTATTATATTAATGATAAAGAGATAGAGGAAATTGATAGGACTAAAGTGCTAATTAGTACCAGTGTGATTTCATAAAATCAGATTTTCTCTTCCAAGTTCATAACACTTAATGATTTGAAGAATTGTCTATGGATAGTAATTATCAAATAATGTTTGTAGAATGTTTGGTGTAAAATTAATAAATTTTTTTTGCTTGCATATAATGAACTTTTATGTGTGAAAAAAATATAAATTGTTCATTGTAGACTTGGTTTTTTATGTAGTATTACTTTTAATGAATAGATTTTTGTAATCTCACATCATTTGTAGACATTCTTTGTTTAAGAATTATAAAGATTCTGTAAAGAGTATGTCAGTTTGAAAGTGAAATAAACTTAAGAATTTGAATACTAATATTATTGAATATTCATGAATACTTAGTTTTAAATGTATATACAACTGACAGAAAATCCAAATAATATCAAACCTTTAATGTCCAGAAAATAATTTAAAATTAAACAAACGTTTTCAGCTACTGTAATTTTCTGTGTATCGTGCATTGGCATATAATCTATAGAAAATTGCTAAAATTAAAATAAAAAATGTCACATAATCTACATTGTCATATATTCCACACCAAAGCTGATGTAACTTAATCCATGTACAGTTTATAAGATATTGTCTCAAACATTCCATTTTTTTTTTTTCTTTCTTTCATTTTATCTTTGTTGGCAATTTATTGTAAAAAAATGTAATTATAAAATAAATGAAATGGGGGAAAAAACAATATTTGAAACTGAACCTCTTAAACTGTGTTAAGTGTTATAACTTCTTCATGCACATTGGGGTGTGTATAATAAATAAATGAAACCTACTTACTGGAGCCTCTAATCGATGTGAAGAAATACAAAAATAAACAACTTTGAAAAAACAAACGTTTTCCGAACACCTTCCGTGTCCTTCCTCAGGTAAAACGGCTGGATTCCTTACTTTAAAACACCGTTATGCAATTTTAAAAAGAACAAAATTTGAATGATGATTTGATTGTACGATGTCCACCGCGCATGCATTGTATCTGTCGTGTCCCCATCATTCAGAATTGCATTTACTCTTCTCATACGTATATGATGCACTATTTTTACTATAACCGTTACATGTCCTCATGCATCCTTCTACACCCACTGAATCCTTAGTAATCATTATGTAATAAGGCTTGCCAAGCTATCGAAAGAGCCATTTCTTCTTGGGAGTTAATGCACATAGATGTAGTGTGCGCCTTATATATTTCTATCGCTTCTAGCCANTTTTTCTACAGGATGTATGTACTGTATTTTTTTAATGTGGCAGTCTTTGAAGCATATCAACTGTGCAAAAAGAGGGCTAAATGTACTCAATGTTAACAGTAAATGCTGTTTTATTATGTCGATATTCCACACTAAAAAATGTGAGGGTCAGGGAATTTGGACAAAGTTGGTCAGGGAAAATCAGGGAAAGTCAGGGAATTCAAAACAAAAATTTGAGTAGGAACCCTGTATATGCTTTTAACGTTGGTTTAGTGTGATTTTTCTTACGTATAATAATCTTGGCATGAAGTAAATAGTGGTTTTGTCAATTATCAGCATGCAATGAGTTCTTATTACATCAATATGTATATGATTCTTCATTGTGTTAATAAATATATTTTATGTAATTAAAAAAATTAAATTGATTTGAATTAAAATATCAACTATTGAAGAAATATCTAATTTTCAGAGTTTTGATAATCTTCAAAATGCCAAAAGCCTAATTCACAACCCTCATATGAACAACTCTGGTACCAATGCTAAAAAACCCATCCACAGTCTTGTTGAAACATCTTGACGAATCAAACCTCAACAAACAATATACTTTAATAAAGGAATGTTGGAAACCACTGTCCTAGACTGTTTTTTGAGACCAAGACACATAATCGGAATGGCCACTATGCCCACTAGTTAACAAGAATTCCCACCTAACATAGTACTTAGAGTAGGCATTTACAAAGCATATTACATCTTTAATGCCTACTTCTAATTTTGTAGCTAGCTCTAAACTCAATGCCAAGATAGGCATCACTTGCCTCCACTCCCACNTGATGGTGAGAAGCAACTGATAACATTAAGCAGCATAATTAAATAAGACTATAATTAGTGAAAAGTTTGATTTTTATTGGCCTTGACAATAAAAAGAATATGTAAATAATTAAAAACTGTGTAACTTTAGGATTTATTATTCTTAATTAGTATTATTAATTAATAATAATTTAGTTATATTCTGGATGAATTAAGAAATGCTAGCAATTTAAATTACTATACTGACAGCAAACAACAATTAAAGTGATAAACATTTAATATTTAAGACATTGAAAATTAATAACAAATTGCAATTTATCAGTCATACTGTTGAGACTGATAGTGTGAAGAGACTGTAATGTCTCAATTTTTCCAAAGCCTGGAAAATCACCTAACATGCAATGTTACATAAGCAAAAAAAATAAAATAAAACAAGAGTCAACCAGTGCTAGGTTTAGACTTTTTTTTATAATGAACTAAACCACAAATGAATATGTTAAAAAAATTGTTAATGTAATTTACAATTTTTTTGATTATAAACAAATAGCCCTAAATAAACATTTGACTATGCATCAAAAGAAATTCAAAATTTATTAAACTAGAGACAAACTATTTACAATGGTTAATACAAAGCTATGAATCAAGTTAGGGAGAAAAGAAAAAACTATACAAATTATAAATTTCAATGATACTTTTATCTAATCAAAATTAAAATAACAAGTATGTACAAAGCCTTCACTACTCTTGGGAACTTAAAGTTAACTTAGGATTATTCTTAGAACAAAAACAGCTGACAAATATGAAGTTGACTATTTACAAAATGCCAAAAGAATCTTACTAACTTGCTTAATTGTCACAATCAAAAGTTTAGAAATCTTTGCTTGTCAATCACATTCATTTTTTAAACTTCACCAACTTGCTTACGGGAGCTTCATCTCATTTTCATTGGTCTTGTAGGATCCTTTATACCTCCAAGTGTTATGTAACAATAGCTACTCTAATCTCATTTACATATGTAATCCAACAATTATTATTTTCCTTCACAATCTTGAGAACGTCTGTCTGTTAACAATCTGTTCAAAACTCAGTTCTGATTTTTGAATCAGTTATATTTAGTATTATGTGTCCATTCTTTAATTCCTATACGAAAATTGCTTTAACTCCTGATATGCTGTTGATTGGTGACATAGCAGTAGTGTCATTCATGGTAAGAGTTAGTATCTCTCTCTGTTTCTTTCTTTTTTTTTTTTTTTGTTTTTGTTTTTGTTTGGTGCAGAGCTATATCCTATAAAAAACAAAATGTTCCAAAAACAAATAATAATGAGAATAAAAACTCAAAAATAAAAGTAAAGTTTGGACTCAATCCTTACAAGACAGCTTAAAAATGCCTGTTCATATAGCATATACCAATAACCAAAACTATGATTACAATAAGCAAAGTTTTATAAGTATATTTTAATGTGTTTTGGGACATGCTAATTCTAGTAATATTAAATGAATAATAATTATATCTATAATTACAATCAGTAAATAAACAGTTTATGTTCAAAAGTACTAAAATGTTAAGATCTTTTTTATTTTATATTATACTTTATAAAAAGCATTTGTTCTGTTTCTCTCTTGTTATATATTTATATACCATCTATATTTTTATATAAAATTCAATTTAAACTAAAGTGGTAGAAAGTAGGATTAACCAACTTAATTCTAATGTAACTTGAGAGATATCTGTACATAAAAAAAAAGTTATTGTTAAGCAGTCATGAATTTAGAAGGAGTTTTATGATAGACATTGTTATGGTATTTTTAGTCAAAATTGATAAAATTGCATTGCATCAAACTGCTGACCGACTTAACTTTCTTAGAAAAATCAAATGGTTTATGATCATTTGGTTTCTCCAAGAATGTATCATATCTTGATTCGATCATATAGGATCAAATCCAACATAAAAAATTACATGAAATATATATTAAAAGAGACAATATTTATAGATGACAGAGAAAATGTCACATTATGCCTGAAACAGTACATCATATCATGTCAAGTTTCTTTGCACAAATTATTATATATATATTTGTCATTTGATTAATATAATACTCTTGTAAAATATAAATACAAATTATAATACACTCAGGTGATGGTGAGAAGCAACTGATAACATTAAGCAGCATAATTAAATAAGACTATAATTAGTGAAAAGTTTGATTTTTATTGGCCTTGACAATAAAAAGAATATGTAAATAATTAAAAACTGTGTAACTTTAGGATTTATTATTCTTAATTAGTATTATTAATNTGTCTTCCCTCGAAAAGTGTCCTCATACATGTCCTCCTTTTTGATATTTGAAGATTAATCTGTAAATCTCCGTATTCGATCAATGCCAAACTGATCTGTTGCATGTGATGTGATATGACATGTTTGTATTTAACATGATAATTCATCAAGGCTCTGTTCAGTGTGACGAGATGCAATTATGAGACGCATGCTCTTCACATGGGAGACCTTGAGAGAGAGAGAGAGAGAGAGCGCATGTGCAAATGGCTTTGTTTGTTTCTTATCAAAACATGACATGGTACCTATACATGCAGTAGAGATTATTATAATGTATTATTGTTGCAATGAATAAAATGTTTTTTATTTATGATATTTTTTCCTTCATTTTATTAGTGTCCTCCTTTTTATTGTAAAAAAGTTGGTCACCTTATTATAAGTCCTGAACATCGTGTCACATTCTGACATCATGCACTATGATATTGTTTAAGAAACGATGCAACCAATTTTGAGTATGGACTCAATTCAGTAAAGTGTGTAAAATATAAATACAAATTATAATACACTCAGGAATCATATTATAAATACACACTATGGTTAGTGTCAGAAAACAGCACACAAAATATATTATGTTGGGTATTTATTATGAGATAAAGCAGTCTATTACAATAGACTAGATTTCATATCTATTGACAAATAGAATCATTGATATCTCAATAATGTGTATTTCAGATGTCTACAATATCTATACTGTAAAAACAATAAATGTAAAAAACATCCATTTTCCACTTGCACTTTATTTCTTAAAAGGGTCATTGATTGTCTGTAATTCTCACTGGTGTCATAGCACATAAACTGTAAAAAAGTCTTACAATTACACTACAGAAAACAGAAATATTAAATGTGTTGCATAGAAAACTTTTAAAATACCTATACTAATAGCACACAAACATGATGTAATAATTATTTTAAATAGCTGTGATTTGACTTTGGTTTGGCTTAACAGTGGTTATCAGCATCATTAAATAATGCATTTGTGAGGTCATCGAGTTGTGCTTAAAGTCAGAATGGAAGAGACATGCTGGTTCGTATGTGGGTGTGATAGACACTGAGTCAGACTCAACAGTTACAAATAAAATCGTCCCAATTTATTTAAACACCAAATCATGCTTACAGATATAATTCTCAGAGTGTAGAGCACGATGTAAATCTTCAGTTCCTCCTGTTGAGAGAGAAAGTTCTGATGGAAGGACTTGTCCATGCCGACTATTCCAGGGGTAATGTTGTTAAAAGTCCGCAGAGAAGTTGAAGTCAGTTCAGCACAAGTGTCAAGGGTGAAGTGAAGAAGGCAACCAAGTAAGGTATAGCACAATGAGAAATCAGAGAGAGAAGCTCCCTGTGTCCTTGGAATCAGAGTTTTTATCAGTTTTGGTCCCAGATCAACCACTTCGATTGGTTATTTTTCCTCTTCCCTACTTTCTAATTGGTCATCATTTGTTACTATGTGTAATGAGATCTGATCTCAGATCGCGGAATGAGCCAAAATCGACATTTAATTTCATCCCAACCGGAGATAGTTGATCTTAGGACTTACATTGTCTAATTTTCCTTTGTTTAATTTCTGAGAAAAGTTTTTCCTCTATTAAATTTAACATTTCCTTTTATGGACATAAAAATTTATACTTTAATATTAACAAATTTAGATATTTTAAATTTTAGTGTGGTTCCGGGACATTTCCAGAGCCTCACACATTTACATAACTATCATTTTTATTTACATAACTATTTTATTATTATAACTATCGTTATAGTAATAAAATATAATTTATTTATAATAATAAATTCTAAAAAGTTTTGTTTTATTATTAGCCTGATACTGAAGAAGGCAATGAAATGGTATTCTGTGATTCTTGTAATATCTGCGTGCATCAGGCTTGTTATGGTATAACAAATATTCCAGAGGGTAGTTGGCTTTGCTGTACATGTGCCTTAGGTATTGAACCATCTTGTCTTCTTTGCCCAAATAAAGGAGGTGCAATGAAAAGTACAAGGTAAATTTTTTTATTACTTAAAATAAAAGTAAAATTTGACCTCAGTATATGAGAATTCAATACAATGAGCTGTTTTCTTTTATTTTTCCAATTTATGAGACAAAGTATTCAATACAACAAGCAGTGATTGATATTTATGATAATAAAATATTCTAATCATAAGTGAAAAACTGATTCTCACATTACATTTAGATACAGATTTAGATGGCTTATAGGTTCTACTCTTGATTTTATTTGTTTCAATCCACATTAAGTCTAAAATTATAGACTAGGATAGTGCTATTCATTCCATTGCGGTTATGCAGTTTACTGTGCAGGATGTGCAATGAATTTTACTTCTACATTAGAGATTTTTCTGTTGGCAATTACAATTTTACTCTATTTTAATTGTTTTATGTGTACTTGTTGTCTTAATTAGCTTTTGTTTTCGTACTGTTAAATAAAGAAATGTTTGATTATGTAGTAGTACTTTCTATTTTCCATATTTTGAAGCCGTGTCGTATTTTTTTATTTGTTTTATAAGCGCAATGTAGCGTAATAACGATCACTTGGCGACTAAACAAAAACAAAAATTGAAATAAAGAAATGAATTGTGCCAAGTGATCATTATTACGCTACATTGCACTTATAAAACAAACTTTCTATTTTGTTAGTGATTAACTTAATTGACACTTTCATTCTTTTTTCACTTTATTTTATTTAGAATCATTGATTGATAGGTATTTTGTAGCACTTTAATCTTATTTGGAGAACATGGATATGGTAGCTAGGTTATGTCAGAACAAGTTACAAAATTTCAACCATAAGAAATAATGGAAAGTCTTATTCCTCTTAGTAAGATTTTGATATACAAAAGGTGTTCAGGAATAGGGTACATTTGTAAATTTTGGTTACACTGCATTATAATATGCTGAGTTAATTCATTAAAATGAAAAACAAAATAGATATGTAGTTACCTATCTTTGAAAATTATTATATATTTTTTATAATATTAATAAGAATAGTGCAATACAGTAGAGCGTTGTTTATCCGAAACATCAGTTAACTGAAAGCATTCCAGTCGGACTATGTCATGCTGAATCAAACATCTTTGATATTAGATTAATTTCCAAAATATAATTTTTTTGTTTTTATATTTTTCAATATATTTATTTTGTTTGTACAAAATAAAGAAATAATTATTAATGATGCACTAGCTACGATTATTATTTTAAAAAGTTTACGTTAGGCTTAACATCAACAAAAATTCAACATGGAGTGACACGCAACGGAGAAAAATTTCAACATGGGATAGGTTAATATATTTTTTCATACATAATCAGTTATCTGAAAAATAAGTTATCTGAACAATCCCAGTCCCCAATTAATTTGGATAAACACCGCTCTACTGTATATACAGTGGTGCCTCGTATAACGGACTTTCTGTTTGACCGTTACGTGACTCGAGCAACGGACTTGCTGCGAACAACAGACTTTCCGTTTGGCAGTTACGTGAGACGAACAATGGACTTTTTTCGAACAAGTGCGAATGATGTTTCCACTCTTTTGCCGTTGCCAATGACAATCTGCTATTTTTAGGATATATTAGTATTATTAGAATGTATTATTAGTATATCTGAAGTAGAAATGTAATGTAATATATGTTGATGATTTAAATAAACATTAAATGTAATGTAATATATGTTGACGATTCAAATAAACGAAATGTAATTGTGTAGATGCCGAGGTGGCGGGACGAAAAGAGGTTGTAAAAAACAAACGGAGCGAGAGTAGCTCGTAGAAGTGTTTAGTGATCTTAATTAATAAAGAATTATTCGTATCATATAATCTGGCAAGTTAAGTCATTTATAATGCATCATGGCTTCTAAAAAAACAGAAAGGTGATTTCAATTGAAACAAAGCAAGAAATCATCAGGAGTGAAAGTTGACAAAAACTTTCTTGTCGAATGGGGAGAGGTTCAGGAGTTTACCAACACTCATTATCCAAACAGAGCTGAGGCCAACAGGATCAATGATCTCTACGATGACACCTTTGTCCGTCATTTCCGACAGGTGTTAAAGAAGAAAGAGAAACAGACCACCTTGGTCATGTTTTTCAAGAAGCCAGCGGGCAAAAAACAAAGGATGGAACAAGAGAAGTTGACCCTGCAAGTTCCGGTAGCCTCTCCTGAATCTGACTCCGATTAAAAAACAATAAAAAAAGACCCGCTGCAATGTGTAAAAAGTCTGTATCTGTATGAATGTGTAAAGAAAGTGTTCTTCCACCTCCTCCTCACAACATCTGACTACCCAGCATAATTGGTGTCTGTGCCATTTTCATTTTTTATGGTACAGTACGGTTATTTTATGCTGCGGAACGAATTATATGTTTTAACATGTATTTCTATGGGAAAATGTGTTTCGTATAACGGACGTGCACCTGGAACGGATTAAGTACGTTGTACGAGGCACCACTGTACTTATTAAATAGATTTTTCAACAAATATGTTTTAATATATGAAAAGTAATAATGATATTTAAAATTAAAAAGTTACAAGACAACAATTTTTTGTGAAAGCTACATATTTAAACACAAATTATTGTCAGTTAAAATTTCACAGGTCATTTGCATCTTTTTATAACTGTATAAACTGGCTGTATTGATTCTTTAGTGTAAGTATAGAGAGATAATGCTATTTCTTCAACATACTGGGAAATCTTTTCATATGCTTTTATAAATGAGATGCAGTTCATGAATTTGTTGTTAAAATTATTTCCAAAAATTTGCCATAGATTATTGAAGCACTTTATGCTTTACATGAGAAATGTAATTAACAAAATGAAGCTTTTTTCCCATTGTTTAAATTTCTTATAATTTTATAGGTGGAAGGTTTTTTTTGTGTTATATCTTATTCTAATTTTGTTATCTCTCTTTCTTTCTGTTTTTTCTTTGGTTTTTCTTGCATGCTGCTTTTTGAATTGCTGTTTTCTTGTGATGTTCAATTTTAGATTCTGTTGTTTTTAAATTAAGCCAGTTTTATATGCTTTTTTCCTCATCTCTAATTCATTTAATTGATATTTGATAATTTCAGTTCTCATTCGTTTTTTCTTGCCTATTGGTTTTTTCCCTCAAACTTTCCATTGTAGCTTTCTTGTTATAATTTTAAGATTAGGCAATTCATCTTCTATAATTGGAAAAAAATTGTAGACCAGACCTGTAAATTCCCACTGTCATCTGTTCACTATCTGTCTGTCAAACAGAATTAGATAGATGAAAGTTGAGACAAGATATGGAAAGCATAGCAGGAGGCCTCAATTAACTATATACAAACTTCCAGTTTGCACTGAAAGTCGCGTTATTTCAGTTAAAAAATTTTCCCATGAAAGGAGTTAGATAGATGACTGGCATGACTCTGTTGCTAGCAGGAAAAGTATGATGTCCAGGGGCAAGACACTACTAATTTGAGTGGAGAGCATATAATTTAAAATTAAATAAATTAAAAATATGGTTAAAATTGCAGCCTGGCCTTGTGACAATGTCACAATAAATAAAAGCTCATTTGAGATCTGTTTGTTCACATATAATCTTTTAGGTATAAATATATCTTGAAACCTGGTTCTGTTTTTACTGTTGCTTTATATAGTTTTCTTTAACTTGGTTGCCATTTTATCATACTAATTAACAATCAATGGTCCCATTCAGTCTCTGATCCTCTAAATTCTAGTGCCTGTTAATGTACTTAAACTTTCCTGTCATCTAATACACTGATGTTCAAAATTAACAGTACTTTGAAAAAAATGGAAATGAAACAGAACAGCATGAAATAATGAAGACATAATGGATATGCAAAATAATGAATGTGTAAGTGCAAATTTTATTTCAGTGACAGAATGAGGTGATGGGAGGTGCTAATGACAATGCTATAAGTACAGTGATGTGAAGGCATGTTTTTGATTCTGGATTTTTGTGCAATAGGTGAGCACTTGCATATTTCTGTTGCTGGAAAAGAATACAGTATGGCTAAGAGATGTCAATTGGCTTTTTTTTGAAAGGCAAAATTATTGGAACATTGTAGAATGGGCAATCATAGACAAAAGTGTCTAGAGTAGTAAATGTGCACACTGTGTAATTTCTAAATACTGTAAAGTCTTTTTTTATGCGGATTATTTTTATGCAATTTTGAAGTTGTGCGGTTTGTATTTCATCCAAAAATTTCTTGGACAAGCATACATACAGGCTTGTTTAGGAAGCCCGCGTATAGACAGTCTCCAAAAATCGTGGAACGCTCAAAGCTCACTCCATTTGTTCCACTGACATATAACGTTTATGGATGTAAAGGACAGCTAGATCTACCTTAATCGCTTTACTTCCTACCAATTTTTGATATAAATTTAATTAAATTAATTAATTAAACAAAAAATACTTAAAACTGAAAAAAACGAAAGAAATGCGTTAATTTTGAAGAAAAAGCTTCAAAGTTTAACTTCCTTTGTCTCGCCCTTCTGTGAAATTTAACACCGATGAGTCATTGTTTACACATCTGGATGACCTTGAACACAGCTGGAGTTGGATTTCCCGGGGCATTCTCATAGACGTCGCGGGAGGACAAGGGTTTAAAGTAGGGTGAACACTAGCTGGCCGTATATTTTTAAATATTTTTAAAAAATTTGGAGACTTAAAAAACATTCCAAAAATTCAAAAAAAAATTTCAAAAATGGCCTTAAGGACCGTGTTTTATGTAACGCTATGTAACCTGCCCGAGTTAACTCGGGCGAGGAACTAAAGGGGTTTTAATTAACTCTTCACATCCAGATGTCAGTGATTTGTTTTTAGAGTGAGCTTTTGCAATTCGGGGATTCCCCTTGTACATGATACTATCGACAAGTCGCTATTACATCATTCTGAGTTTCGCATTGAAAGGTATAAACTGTAATTGTTTTGAAATTAAATTTTATATGAATTTCTTTCAGACATTCGAAGTAATTTATTAAGCAGCCTATTTCTTTTAATTTCTGCAAACTTTTTTATGCGGTTTTAAGTTAATTTTAACTCGTTGTTTTGGTTTTATGCGATTTTAGAAAATTACGGAACGTATCCCTACTTTTTCAAGGCAAGTAAAGTCTTTTTTTATGCGAATTTTTTATATGCGCTTTTCTGTAGAACGTATCCACCGCATAAAACGAGACCTTACAGTAGTAGAGAAGATACCAAACAACTGGAGATATTCCCAAACAACCTGTACAAGTTTGACTAAGAGTAACAACTGCTTGACAAGACTGATTTCTGTCCATAACTGCATGATGTAATCAGATGATGTCTGCCATATAACTGTCTTCTATGCTTGCTGCAGCCATGGCAACAGCACTATCCATGCAAATTGTTTACAGAAGACTGAAGGAGAGTTGCCTGTATTCTAGGTGTCCAGCTGTTTGCCTGCTGTTGATTCATTAGCATAAGGGAGTCTGTTTGGATTTTTTTTCTAGTTTCTTCAAGACATGATTTGGTTATGCAGTTCAAATTCTTCCTTTTATATCTTAATCAATAAATATAATAAAACAGAATTAAAGACTTAGAAGATATTTAAATAATTATATAGTTAAACTATTTTGCCCAAATCCATTCAATATTTTGTTTATAATTGTAAAAATATCAAACTTGTTTTATAGGAACCAACTAAAATTCTCTGTATTTTTTATCATTGTTGCAGCATAAAAAAATTTTACAAATTGAAAGAAAATTGTAAAATTGAAAGTTAGATATTATTATTCAATGAAAGGTAGGTTAAACTTTAAATTAGTTTACATTCATACTATTTCTCAGTATTAGGAAAGGAAAATTGGTAAATTAATTGATTATTAAACTATTACATTGATTATGAAAATAAGTATCATTTCTTTGATACTTATTTTCATAAGATTGAGACTGATTCAATTAGGAACTTAAAAATTTTAAAGAACTATTTCTTCAGAATTACTTAATATTTCTGTTTCATACACATAATTTATAAATAAAATTATTTTCAGGAATGGCCTAAAATGGGCTCATGTCAGCTGTGCATTATGGATTCCTGAGGTTATTATTGGATGTGTTGAGAAAATGGAACCCATTACAAAAATTTCTATGATTCCTGTAAGTTAAATTCATTTGTTTGTTTATATATTTTCATATGCAAATAAGTTGAATGTTTTTGTTTTTGATAAAATAATAAATAAAATTATTGATAAACTAATAAAAAATTAAGTAGGACTTAATTTTTTTTTTTATGGAGTCAGATAATCTATTTTTTTATTATTATTACCGTACTGTACTAATTTTTAGTACACGGAAAACTACTAGTTTTCCATTCGTTTCTGACCTTTGGAGGCTTAATAAGTCCCGAGTCAGTAGACTGGTATAAAAAATTAAAAAAAGGTAAACAGGTTAACAAAGAAAATATAATTTTATTTTTATATAAATATATACTTCACCCCAAATGCATTTCGCCTGTCAAGGCCTCTTCAGTAGGGTTTCTGATGACTAGAGTGTACAATAGGAACAGCAGAAGGTATCTCAGACGACACATTTTTTTCCGTCGTAGACACAGAAGAAGACACATCTTTCTCACTGACACCATCGCGTTTACAATCTTTAAGAAACACAAACTCTTCCCAGCATTCCGCTGGTATCACCCCATTATTCAAATTCATTACATTACTTTGCATAATTATCGCGAAATGTTCTTTAAATTTTCTTTTTACAATATTTTTCTCTTTATGTATTATTTTTACATTATTAATATCTAATTGACAGTT